AAAGGCTGATTAGGTACCCATTAACCTCTGTAGTAAGGAACACACCAGATTCCTTCTTTACGTTATTCAGATTCACAGTAACTTTGAGTTTCTGGTCGTTGTCATCTTGCTGTCCAGACTTAGTGCTTTGACCTTTCTTGTTAGGACAGTCCCGTTTTAGATGTTTTGGAGACCCACATTCATAGCATTTTCTGTCCGTAAATCGTTGTGCGGTTGGCTGACTATTGTTCCTCCGGGCAAATCGGTTCTGTCGTCTGTTTTGCTTCATTGCGTTAACCTCCTTGGTAAGTTCACTTACTGACTTCTGCATGGAAGAAAGTAACTTCTCAATTCCTGCCAGGTCAACTGTTTCAACCGCCTTGTTCTCAGAAACCTTCTCATTTTTCGCAATACCAGAGTCAATAGATCTGGCTAAAGCCTGTTGCTCCCTTATCTTCTTTTCAGAGTTAAGATAAGCTTCTAGCTCAACAGCATGACGAAGGGCATCGTTCAAATCTACTGGTCTGGCTTGCTTGATTCATATTCGCAGATCAGATTCTACAAGCGCATCAAGAAATTGCTCCTTAGCCAGGGTTTCTTTGACGTCTGAAGGCACTGTGTTATATGCCAAGTTCGTTAATCTGCGTATATCTTGGGCCAGTTCTGGGAGAGTTTCAGTAGCTCTTTGTCGGCGTTCTTTTAGCTGAGTCCTATAAAGCTCTGTTTGATTCGGCGGAAAAAAGCGCTCCTCCAAGAACTTTACCAGCATATCATAATTTTGACCAAGAGGACCCCTTAGGTTACCTAACACACCTTGCGCTTGTCCTCGTAACGCCACGGCAAGGTTTAATCCCTTTTCTTCAGGAGTCCACCTATTTAAAGTTGCACAAGCCTCAAAATGAGCTTGATAGTCAATCCAGGAACCTGTTCCGTCATACTTTGCAGGGTTAACTCGTGCATTGTGACAACTAGACTTTTCACGAGCAAGTGATGAAGAGTATTGTAGATTGCTACGATCCTCCATCAATGACGAATTGCGTGGCAATCTGCTTCGTCTATATGTGACGTTTGCAGGAGGTGTTTGCTGAGAAGGCCTAGCGTATCTGTCTGAATCAGTATATGGGGTGTAGGGGCTCTCTGGCAAGGTCAGTCGACTTTCCTCCAATATGTCTGAAGACAAACGACCTTGCTCTGTAGTGTGCAAATCAAAACTGTGTTTCGGTCTGGCCCCGAGTTTCTTATAGCTACTCGTGTTTTCTGAACGCAGCATACCGATACCCGAATCACGATACGGTACCCTAACGTTTATGGGCGGTGTGCGAGTGTCGACATTGCCCAGGTCTAGAGACTGTCTCCTAGATTCGATTTGCTTTATCTCCTCAGAGATAGCATCAATATCTTTTTGTAAAGATAGCTGGTCTTGATCTGACATGTTTCAACACAGATATATTATAGATATATTATAGCAAACCAGCAAAGTTCTAGGTAAAACATACAACAATACTATATATAAAAAAAAATGAAAGCTAGCAAGATCCCACCGCTGCCACCAATTTTGTAACGTGCAGCCTAACTTTGCACACGGTGGGTAAGTCTCTGATTCCTTGCAGAGATACTAGCTAACAAATGCCGATATATACATATAGCGTGGAACAGCAAACTCTACCTGAGTTAACAATAAAACTAACGAACGAACTAGTATTCACATGGACTGCTGTCCCGACACAGACTGTTCTGACTAGCATGTGAGCGTGAGTGGAAGCTCGACACCCAGTGACTTCACCTAACCCTAGTTCCAACTACTGAACTAGTCGCCGAACAATACCACTTAGTCGGTCCTGACTAAGCACTAGGTTGTCCTACCAAGTAAGTCAACCCTTGCTCGTGTTCCTAGCTCGGGTTCTAACCTAACCCTATAGCTAGCTACCCACAGTCAAAAAGTCCAAGCTTCGGTGAGAACTAAACAGCTCTCGCACCAGCTTGACAAGCGGTTTCGGAAAAGCCACTATTTCAGACTTTCACCCACCACCTGTTACAAATGACTGTGTTACTTGCTTAGTAAGAAGTCTTGCGTCGTCTATGTTTCTCTGAATGCTTCACCAACAGTCAGTATACAGCGCTCGCAATAATTCAAAGTAATTTCTATTTACATGTCTAATAAACTCTTTCATTAGGTGTGACAATTGTTGATATTTAATTTACCATAAATGATGCATACTAAAATATTAACTTAGTACAAAATACCTTTCCATATCTTACTACATAAATATAAACATTTGTATTAATCGACAAAAATCATTAGATGAACAAATTAACCAATATGTAATTAGCTATAATCATATTCAAGGGACATAAATCTTATACTTCAATTTCCATTACACAAGTCATATTCAAAGGACATAACTCGTATACTTCAATTTTCATTACACAACTTTGTCAACCATGGGCTGGAATTGTGACGACAAAGTTTGAGTGATAATTGTTCATTTAGAGCTTGAACCAGGGTATTGAAAAACTCAGGGTCAGATGTGTTCAGAATAACGTTTGTCTGGCCGGGGGGTGACGATACACCAGAGGGGACTTTGGGGCTGGAATCATGATCACTATTAAGTTTTTAAGATTCGATAGACATGTCTGGAGAAGAATCACACTGTTGACGTTTGAATCCGGCAATATTAGAATTACAGGAAACTGGCGATGAAAAAGTTTGAGCTTGTTCAGGTGTAATTACATCGCTTACCTGTAGGAATGATATAGGCACGTGCACCGGAGGGTGACCGTCGGTATGACCTTCCTCTGACATTGTCCACAGTGAAAATATAAGGATCCAAAATATACGATTTCCAGACACTTTCCGTAGATTTTAGAGAAAAGTCCACAATCCAGTTACATAAGATCCCGAGTCAGCGAAAAAAAATGGTGGAATAAAGGTCCGGAAATAGAGAAAATACAAGATTTTAGTCCCCCGATCTACAACACCTGTGGTCAGTTAATACATCACGTGACCAGAACCAGTGAAATCTGGGACCAGCTTCCTATTGATGAAAGGTCATCACCATCATTAAGTATTTTTAGAAAGAGAGCAATAAAGTACTACTGTGATAAGTACTTTCAGAAGAAAACATAACCTTTTTAATGTATAAATTAGCATGTATTCTGGCAATGTCTATGTCTTAGTTATATTAGCATGTAGGTATACGAGGCTTTGACCATTTAACTTAATTAGTATTCATAAGCATGAAAATTGTGTTGTTCTTTTTATGATAATCAGGGTTTCAGTTATTCTTGTTTGTAATTGATTTTCAGTCATATTTAATGTGTTTTAAGTACAATATACCTTTTTATCTATGCTATTTTTAACATTAGATATCTGTATATTATTATCTAAGAAATTTTACTAACTTTGAGGACTCTGAGGGAGATTAGTCTTTGGTTAAATCAGGTTGTATCACCTTGATAGATAAAGTTGTTTATTATTGAAACAGTAAATCACTATGTATTTGCAGAATCGTAAGCTAAGATGCCAATATATTTATGTAACACAGTATTTTCCAGCAAGCGTAAGAAAGTAAAACATGCAGCAAATTAACACAAGGGAAAATAATACTGTAAGTAAAATAGTGAGTTTGGTGATTTTTTTTTTTTCTTTTTTTTTTGCGAAAAAAAAGAAACCAAGATTAATGATGTTGATCTATCTTACCGAACTAATAACCTTATGTAATACAAGCAAAACTGGCCGCCTTGATGCTTTGTCGAGGTGAACAGATAGGCCAATTAACTAATTAGTGACAAGTTACGACCACAAATCCCCTCCGACCGGCGGATTCTCGGCGAGGGTAGTCTACTTATGTAGCTCATGGCTTTTAAGACAGAGATTCATGATGTGATAAATATTGCATTTTAACAAACACTTTATGTTTAGATTAAAATGATTTTTATCTTTAAAACACAATATGAAAAAGTGAAAATATGGTGCCCTTCGCTGAAGTGAGCACAAGACGAAAATCGCAAAACGAACGAAATTATATAGAATGATACTATAGTAGTTACTTACATGTTAATATAGATGTGCAGTAAACAAACACAAGTTAGTACCTTAAATTCGCCTTACCAGTCACCAAAATATTTTTTGTCTATTATTTTTGGTGGCGTCAGCCAAGTCATGTTACGATTCATCGCCAGAATCATCATTAATGGACATCGTTTAGCTACTTTGAGGCTCAAATTGTTATGATTTAATAACAAACTTTACTTCTTAGTCGTTTTATGGTGCTTGACATGCTCATTTAATAAAAATAGCCGAGTTAACGTACAATGCCTTCGTAAGCAATTCTAATGAATTTGTGTCTCGGCTTGTAGTCTGAACTAACGTCACAAATGATGAACCAATGAGAATACTAGTTTTTTCAGAAGGGAAATAACTAGATATTTTAACTTCCTCACTCGTAAACAGTAGAAATTGTGCTACCTGTACACCGGTCACTTTTTAAAGACATTTTCTAATGATTTTTCATGGAACATGATTTTTTATTTGTATAGCCGGTGACTTTAAATCTTTCATTTCAATTAATTTTATTATTCATTTATTGGTACGAAAATTCCCTAGTCCGAAAAATAAAAAAAGAAATTATCGGTGCGAAAATGACTCGGTACGCAAATTCCCGGTTTGCATCTCAATTCAACTTTATACATTATTGTTAAAGGCCGATGCAAAGACTCAATAAGTCAGTGTGATGCTACCTCTACCCAAAAAATGTCATCGGGTTACTTCCCTTGTAAGAGCTTTCCTCTCTTTAGGCTATACCTAAAGGAAGACTTAAAAATATCTTTATTTCACCCATTAATTAAATAAATATTGATGTATTAAATATAAAAGTGTTGTTGAATACAATAAAGAATTGCGTTGTATGAGTCTTCACATAAAAGACGAGACGATATTTTTTTTTCACTTTTTGACAGGAGATAATTTTATGCATTTTGAGACGGTCCCCGATAAAAGCCCCACTGTGATCAGACCTAACATGGCAGCGCTGGCAGAAGGCCGTCAATATGGGCTCTCGTCGTCAATTTCATCCCAGGAACACAAAACTGTTGTCCAAGTCAAATTAACTGACTCAGCCCTTAAATCTATTGACGAATTCCTCAGAATCAAGGTAGGTCTACTGAATGTTTCTTAAATTCGGAGATTATTCATGCGCAAATCAGGGACCTTCACTTATCTGAATGATTTTGCAAAGTCGACAAAAATGTTTACTGTGTTTTAGTTTTCTTTGACTCGTATTTTATTAGATGGGCCATTTCTCAATGAAAATTGGTTTTAGTTATATATGACAACAAGTGACAAGCTTAATCTATAAAAGAATTTCAGATTCAAGCGAGATAACTAACAAAATGTCAGAAATTGACGCTCAATATGGTCACTCATTTCAACATTTTACGTATGTTCTCTCAGCTCTGAACACAAAATTGTTACATTAAATGTTTTTCCTTGAGAAACACACAGAGTTAGGAGTTACTTTGAAGTTTTTATATAAAGGAAGTAGTTTGTCCCGATATGGTTACTGTTTCAGTGCACTAGTGGCCTATCAGTTGCCAACATTACCGATATCTAACATATGTTTCTGACATGTTATCAACAGGCATCTAGGTTTCACACATGTACATCGGTTGATTTAAAATGAAAGACAATTCATAGAGAGACCAACATATCATGACAGTAATACAGAAATCTATCATAAGTTCTCTACTAGGAAAAATATGTTGATGTTAACCAGTCCGAGGTTATTTATGTTGAGATAAACAACAAATGTCTGCTTTGTAGTTAGTGTATGAAATAAGAAGTTGTCTCAAAGCCATACTTGTTATTAACATACCAGTTTCTGTACATACTTTCACAGCTCAAATTATAAATTGTTGTATCAGCACCAGATAAATGCTATAAAAACATTGATCAACCTGTCTATCTAAAAAGCGTCAACAAATGTCGGAAAGCCTCTTCATGGAATATCTGAGGGGAAAGAGTGGTCAAATTGATCCAGATTTCAAAAACCTTCTCACCCAGATCACTCACTCACTCATGCCCGTTATGCCGTGTGGCACCCAGATGGGTAGTTTCAAATGCTCATCATGGATGGAAGGGTCTTTAAGTGCTTCACCAAACTTTTCACATTTCCCCCAGAGTAAAAGTTTAAGTTTGCTTAAGTTTCTAAGGAAAAGTATATTTTATAGCATAATTTGTTTAATTTCCATTTGAAGTATTTAAAATCCAATTACTAGTATAGGATGATAACTTGATGGTAGGCACATATTGATCCTGGCTGACCTCCAGGGGCTGATAGGCTGGGCCAAAAAGGGTCAAATTGGCTCAAAGCTCAAAAACCTTCTTCTCAACATCCAGATATGGTTGAATAAAATACTCTTCATTGTTGGAAGGGTCTTATGGTGCTTTACCAAACTTGTGAATTTCATGACCCCCTGGGTCTTACATTTCTCCCAGGCGAGGATGAAGATTACTATAGTTTCATAACGAAATTGCTTTTTTGAGCATCACATTGTTTTTTTTCCATTGGAAATAATTAATTTGGCAAGAATTATTAGTATGAGATTGACAGTTTTGATGGTATGCATATCCTGGACACAAATAGTGAAGGATCAAAGATATGTGGTTTTTCTGCCATTAAAATGAATTAAGCTTGACACTTTATCACCAGTGTATGCACAGTTACTTTTCCGTAATGATTTTCGTGTGCAAACTACACTAAACATGTGACACAAGACATCATGTAACGGGGTTAAAATCAAACCGTCAATTGTTGTTATATTGAAAGTCTGTTTGGACTTAATGTCAAATCATTCAACAAATTTTGTGTTTCTTCTGAATGTCCTGTCATTTTGCATCCTGTTTTGAACATTTGTTAGCATGAGACGTCACTTGACAGCTGCAGAGACTGGTAGAGCAGTTGGGATGCTGCAAGTTGGACAATCACAACACACTGTAGCTGCACACTTAAATGTGTCAGAGTGTCAAGTCTCGATTATGTAATTGATTCCAGATGACCAGATATGTCCCCAAGAGACCTTTATCTGGTAGACCATGTACACAAATTCTTCTTCCTGTTCCTTAAATTGTTATTCAACCTAACGATCCTTCAACTGATAGGAGCTTACTGATGCTCTTTATCAAGAATGACTGCAAAAGACAGCCTGTTAGGATAGATATTTTAGCACTCTTACTAGGTGCAAATGGTTTGCAAGTTCCACTAGGCTGAATAACAACTTTAGCAACTAGAAGAAGAATTTCTGCACAAACAGTGAGGAATATACTTCACAGTTAACATGCTCACAGACCTGCGGTACATCTATAACTCGTACACCGGCACTGAATAACTCACCGACATTCGGCAGCTGACCATGTGATTCGGTGACTGAGTCAATGGAGGACTTTTAACAGATGAGACCAGGTTTTGCGATGACTTCATGATGGGGTGGGCAAGAGATATGCTGACTGCTGTTTCACTAAGAATCCTTTGGTGGGGTCTCAGTAATGGTTTGGCTAGGGATCAGTTTGTGATGATCGGATTTACTTGTATGTGATTGGTGGTGGTACACAGCCACAGGTTGACAGTAATGGGATGAAATCCTTCATCCAATTGTTAGACCCTCTGCGGGTGCTGCCAACCCTGACTTTGTACTGTTGGATGACAATGCTCGAGCAAATAGAGCTAGAATTGTGAATGAGTACCTTTAAGCAGAAACCTTCAACTGATAGGAGCTTGGTGATGCTGTTTATCAAGAATGGCCACAAATTCCACAAACGGCTAAATGGTGCCTGATTTGTAGTATGCCAAGCATTTGTTGTGCCTTTATTGGGGCCAATTGAGGACACTCCTACTTTTGATAGTAATGCTGAACCCACAGAAGCATTTTGAATTTTCAGCACTATTGAGACTTTAACTTTGTTTGAGAGGGTTACAAAGTTTTGATGTAATCATACACAACACACTTGAATGAAATTGATTCGAACTGTGTCAAAATTGTTTCCTTATATTTTTACATCACTTTTGTGTTTCACATTCCTAACGTTTTTTATTCAAATGAATTTATCTCTGAAAAGTGATCCCAAAATTGTGATGCCCAGTATATATTGACACTGGCTTACTCATCAATGTCACAATTTCTTTTTATGACGCTTGAAAGTTACTTACTTAGTAACCTTTATATTCAATATCACTTACCTCAGTTGGCTGTCATCACATATGTATTTTATCATACATATTGTATCTCTAATTCTCGAAGCTGGCAGTTTTGGTTGCTAGTAACACTGAAAGGTTCTTTATTCCAGGATGTACTAACCAACATATGTTATTGTCTAGTTTCAATCCCAGAGCCTCCCTACCTTAATTTCTATTACATGTAATATTACCTTTACAAAAAAAATGTTTTGCAACTATTCTTTAAGAAGAGAAAGAACTCTGAGACTGTTATATAAGAAACCTATCAAAAGTTGTACATGGTCTTTGTTCAGACATACCTGGTTCTTCTCATGTTTTGAAAAATGAAATCATAAAAAAAATCTTGTCTAAAAGCTCTAAAACGTTAGATAAATGATTGTGGATACTTCTTGTGGAAGATGTTTAAAATATTTTGTGAATACTGACTGTGTCAATTCAACAGTGCCCTGCTAACATAATGTTGATGGACATTTTGATATATCTCAGTCAAGCGAGATTTCCATAGACTAGATCAATTCCAATTCTCGTAATACTTCTCACATGAACTTGAACATATCTTACTTGTCATACTTACAGTGGTAAGTTGTGGGTAGAAACACAAGAATGCTTATAAGTCAAGGTGAAATGACAGACTGGTAATATGGTTTGGTGATTGTGACACAGGCTGGTAATATGGTTTGGTGATTGTGACACAGACTGGTAATATGGTTTAGTGATTGTCACACAGACAGGTAGAATGGTTTGGTGATTGTGACACAGACTGGTAATATGGTTTGGTGATTGTGACACAGACTGGTAATATGGTTTGGCGATTGTGACACAGACTGGTAATATGGTTTGGCAATTGTGACACAGACTGGTAATATGGTTTGGCGATTGTGACACAGGCTGGTAATATGGTTTGGTGATTGTGACACAGACTGGTAATATGGTTTGGCGATTGTGTGACACAGACTGGTAATATGGTTTGGCGATTGTGACACAGACTACAGACTGGTAGTATGGTTTGGCGATTGTGACACAGACTGGTAATATGGTTTGGCGATTGTGACACAGACTGGTAATATGGTTTGGCGATTGTGACACAGACTGATAGTATGGTTTGGTGATTGTGACACAGACTGGTAGTATGGTTGGTGACACAGACTGGTAGTATGGTTTTGCGATTGTAACACACCATCTGTATTATAATATGTGTATCTACAAGTGGTTGCAACTTACTGCAATCTTCTGTCTCAATTTTTCTGAAGCATGAATGGTTTTGATGGCTCCATGGGGACAGAGTGATTTGGCCCAATCAGAAAATAGATATGTTGTGTGGTGTGTGCTTAGATATTTAGATTTCTTCTTTTCTTTTTGTATAGTTTTGATGAAGGAATTTCATTCATCATAGCCAGGTAATCGATACATGCCCCATCAACCTCTTTTTTCATTTAAGTACACTATATTGAAATAAATAAAAACATAAACTTTCTACATTTGTAACATATGGTGTTTAATTTTTATTTTTCATTGCAGGTTGGCAGATCTCAAGGCACACCCACTATACAGTTCCAGGGCCAAACAGGAGTAAGTATCCAGATTCAGGGCCACACTGGATTAATTATCAAATTTCAGGGCCACACTGGAGTGAGTAGGTATCAAATTCCAGGTACACTGGATTAAGTATACAGTTATACACACTGGAGTAAGTATACAGTTCTAGGTACACACTGGAGTAAGTATACAGTTCTAGGTACACACTGGAGTAAGTATACAGTTCTACACATTGGAGTAAGTATACAGTTCTAGGTACACACTGGAGTAAGTATACAGTTCTAGGTACACACTGGAGTAAGTATACAGTTCTAGGTACACACTGGAGTAAGTATACAGTTCTAGGTACACACTGGAGTAAGTATACAGTTCTAGGTACACACTGGAGTAAGTATACAGTTCTAGGTACACACTGGAATAAGTATACAGTTCTAGGTACACACTGGAGTAAGTATACAGTTCTACACACTGGAGTAAGCATACAGTTCTAGGTACACACTGGAGTAAGTATACAGTTCTAGGTACACACTGGAGTAAGTATACAGTTCTAGGTACACACTGGAGTAAGTATACAGTTCTAGGTACACACTGGGGTAAGTATACAGTTCTACACAATGGAGTAAGTATACAGTTCTACACACTGGAGTAAGTATACAGTTCTAGGTACACACTGGAGTAAGTATACAGTTCTACACACTGGAGTAAGCATACAGTTCTAGGTACACACTGGAGTAGGTATCAAGGTTCTGGGCTTTTTGGAGTAAGGATCTAAGTCATCGGCCTCACTGAACTAACCATCCAGTTCTAGAGAAACATTGAAGTGTGAATACAGTTATGGAACCACACTGAATTGAGTATCCAGTCTTGGGCCATAATGAAGTAGCTAGGTATTCAGTTCTCAGGCTACACTTGTACACCTGTTATATATGTACATCCATTTTATATATAAGTATCCAGTTGTTGGGCCATACTTAAGTATCCAGTTCCATGACACCACTAGCAGTAAGTGGCAGTCAGTACAAAGTTCCAGGATCTTGTGTGAGTAAGTATAAATTAGTTTTGGAGCAACCCTGAAGTGGGTATCTCATGATTTTGTTCCCAAGTTGTTCAGACATGCAGTACTTCGCGATATATTGGCATTGGTGTTTTTGTTCGAATTGGGCTTGTTCAATTTTAGTGGTAATCCATTTTGCGTGTTAAATTTTGGTGCTTACCTGTATAGCTTAATTGATCTGTTTGTTCATCGCTTGTTTATTTTGATTTCCGATTGCAGATAAATCCTTGCAAAAACTGGTCATTTTTGTGTCCTCATTTTCAATTGAAATTACATTGTTTTCAATCATAAAATGGATATGAAAGCCATGCGGTGTGCAGACAGAATGGAAAAGCTATTCACCTAAGTGACAGGAATCAACCACCTATAGCCTTTGTTTGAAGAGGTTTTTATTGGGAACAAATCAGTATTATACCAATTGTTTTCAGTTTCTATGAAATCTTTTTGTACTTCACCTCACCTGGCTGCACACCTAATCAATGTGACTTACCCTTGTTCACATCTGATACAGCTATAAGAATAAAAACAATGCCAATTTTATGACAGATAAAAACATGTCATTATTGATGTGTTATTTGTCAGGTGTTTTACAAATGTAACAATATTCCAGCACACATAACATAGCTCGGGGAAGTTAGTAAGGAGTATATTAAGTTGGTGAACAGGAAGACAGGATGCTGAAATCTGTATGTTGTTCTGACAATTTCTTAAGTATAGTTTTGGTGGTTAAATTTTGGCTCATTCTAAACAGACGCTCAATAAACCAAGATATTACTACATTTGTCATGAAGGGAACTTGGTTTTCTGTATTGTTGGTCTCCCAAGGAGAAGAAGTGGCGGGGGGGGGGGGGGGGCAATATGGCACATAGATGTAATATCCATTTTCTTCTGTTGAAATGAATGTATTTTGGCAAAATTTTGATCCAAAATGAGTCAAGGGTACTCAATTGTATGTGAATGAAGGGGTGACAGAGGGATAGGGTCCAGTATGGGAAACTAGAGTTAACATTTTATAATTATTGTTCTTTTTCTGATTGGATGAAATGATTTTGTTAATATTTAGTTTGAGTCTTTGAAATTCCAGCATATTTTTGGGAAAAATAAAAGATATGATTGTGAAGAAAAATGTTTGGAAGCGAAAGCAGACATATCCAATTGAGAAATATAGACCCCATGGGCCTCTTTTTTGTAATGCTCTGAAACCATGTTCACTTTACTGAAATAGTGTTGTATTTAGCTCTTTTGATTTTTACAGATTATCTGTATACCCAGCAATAATACAGGTGATCCAGCTCGGACATTCCAGTTCTCACTGGCCCCAGTGGTGGACTCCAACACCAGTGATTGTGCACACCAGCCTGACACAAAGTAAGTTCCATAAATACCCCACAAAAATAAAGTAGCCAGCCAAACACAGACTATGTAGAACTTCCATACCAGCTCCAAAGTAAGCTGAAGATCCCAATGCAACACTAAGTAAGTAGGTGACTTCCAAACTAGCCGACACAAAATAGCAAGGAGATGTTTTTCATAAGTTCCACATCAGCAAAGTATGTGACTTTCAAACTAGTCCACACAACAAAGCTAGGAGATATTGTACATAAGTTCCACACCAGCAAAGTATGTGACTTTCAAACTAGTCCACACAACAAAGCTAGGAGATGTTTTACACAAGTTCCACACCAGCAAAGTAGGTGACTTCCAAACTTGTCCACACAACAAATCTAGATGTTTTACTAAACTTCCACACCAGCAAAGAAGGTGACATCCAAACTAGTCCACACAACAAAGCTAGGAGATGTTTTACACAAGTTCCACACCAGCAAAGTATGTGACTTCCAAACTAGTGCACACAACAAAGCTAGGAGATCTTTTACACAAGTTCCACACTTGGAAGGTAAGAGACTTTCCAAACTTGCCCACATAAAATAGCTAGGAGATTTTCCACACAGAATTACCACAACAGCCTTACACAACTTACATAAGAGTATCGAATAAGCAGGTTTCTTACCACACCATCATCACACAAGTGTTTTACTTACTCTGTATTCTTGTGTAATGTGGGCGTAGTGTGGTCACTACTTTCAATCTCCATACCAGCCCCACATTAATAATAATGTCTGTACCAGCCCCACATTAATAACAATGTCTGTACCAGCCCCACATGAATTATAATGTCTGTACCAGCCCCACATTAATTACAATGTCTGTACCAGCCCCACATTAATTACAATGTCTGTACCAGCCCCACATTAATTATAATGTTTGGACCAGCCTCACATTAATTACAATGTCTGTACCAGCCCCACATTAATGACAATCTCTGTACCAGCCCCACATTAATTACAATCTCTGTACCAGCCCCACATTAATGACAATCTCTGTACCAGCCCCACATTAATTACAGTCTCCGTACCAGCCCCACATTAATTACAATGTCTGTACCATCCCCACATTAATTACAATCTCAGTACCATCCCCACATTAATTACAATCTCTGTACCAGCCCCACATTAATGACAATCTCTGTACCAGCCCCACATTAATTATAATGTCTGTACCAGCCCCACATTAATTACAATGTCTGTACCATCCCCACATTAATTACAATCTCAGTACCAGCCCCACATTAATGACAGTCTCCGTACCAGCCCCACATTAGTGACAATCTCTGTACCAGCCCCACATTAATTACAGTCTCCGTACCAGCCCCACATTAATTACAATGTCTGTACCATCCCCACATTAATTACAATGTCTGTACCATCCCCACATTAATTACAATCTCAGTACCATCCCCACATTAATTATAATGTCTGTACCAGCCCCACATTAATTACAATGTCTGTACCAGCCCCACATTAATTACAATGTCTGTACCAGCCCCACATTAATGACAATCTCCTGAAGTATGGTGCATGAAGTAATAACCAGCCCTTCACATGTACTGAACCTTTCATATCAACTACAAACAATGTATGACCTCTCTATTATCTCTGCAGACATGGCAGTCATCTCAACACTCTTGGTACCATGTCCCAGAAAATTGCAATCCATGCCACCAGTGATGTATTCCAAGCCACAAAACAGCGAATGAACCAAGCAATAGCTGACACCAACAGTGTGTGGTAAGTCTAAATAGCTGACACCAACAGTGTGTGGTCTATGTAAATAGCTCACATCAATAGTGTGTGGTCTGTGTAAATAGCTGACACCAACAGTGTGCAGTCTGTTTAAACAACTGACACCATCGGTGTGTGGTCTGTTTAAACGACTGACACCAACAGTGTGTGGTCTGTTTAAATAACTGACACCAACAGTGTGTGGTCTGTGTAAATAGCTGACACCATCAGGGTGTGGTCTGTTTAAACGACTGACACCAACAGTGTGTGGTCAGTGTAAATAACTGACACCATCAGTGTGTGGTCTATGTAAATAGCTGACACCAACGTTGTGTGGTCTGTGTAAATAACTGACACCAATAGTGTGTGGTCTGTTTAAATAGCTGACACCATCAGTGTGTGGTCTGTTTAAACGACTAACACCAACAGTGTGTGGTTTGTGTAAATAACTGACACCATCAGTGTGTGGTCTATGTAAATAGCTGACACCAACAGTGTGTGGTTTGTGTAAATAGCTGACACCAACAGTGTGTGGTCTGATTGAATAGCTGACACCAGCAGTGTGTGGTAAGTCTAAATAGCTGACACCAACAGTGTGTGGTCTGTGTAAATAGCTGACACCAACACTGTGTGGTCTGTGTAAATAGCTAACACCAACAATGTATGGTCTGTGTAAATAACTGACACCAACAGTGTATGGTCTGTGTAAATAGCTGACACCAACAGTGTGTGGTCTGTTTAAACGACTGACACCAACAGTGTGTGGTCTGTGTAAATAACTGACACCATCAGTGTGTGGTCTCTGTCAATAGCTGACACCAACAGTGTGTGGTCTGTGTAAATAACTGACACCATCAGTGTGTGGTCTATGTAAATAGCTGACACCAACAGTGTGTGGTCTGTGTAAATAGCTGACACCAACAGTGTGTGGTCTGTTTAAATAGCTGACACCATCAGTGTGTGGTCTGTGTAAATAACTGACACCAACAGTGTGTGGTCTGTTTAAAGGACTGACACCAACAGTGTGTGGTCTGTGTAAATAGCTGACACCATCAGTGTGTGGTCTGTGTAAATAACTGACACCATCAGTGTATGGTCTGTTTAAACGACTGACACCAACAGTGTGCGGTCTGTTTAAACAACTGACACCAGCAGTGTGTGGTCTGTTTAAACGACTGACACCAACAGTGTGTGGTCTGTTTAAATAGCTGACACCAAAGGTGTGTGGTCTGTTTAAACGACTGACACCAACAGTGTGTGGTCTGTTTAAACGACTGACACCAACACTGTGTGGTCTGTTTAAACAACTGACACCAACAGTGTGCGGTCAGTCTAAATAGCTGACACCAACAGTGTGTGGTCTGTGTAGATAGCTGACACCATCAGTGTGTGGTCTGTGTAATTAACTCACACCAACAGTGTGTGGTCTATGTAAATAGCTCACACCATCAGTGTGTGGTCTGTTTAAGCGACTGACACCAACAGTGTGTGGTCTGTGTAAATAACTGACACCATCAATGTGTGGTCTATGTAAATAGCTGACACGAACAGTGTGTGGTCTGCGTAAATAGATGACACCAACAGTGTGTGGTCTGTGTAAATAACTGACACCATCAGTGTGTGGTCTATGTAAATAGCTGACGCGAACAGTGTGTGGTCTGTGTAAATAGATGACACCAACAGTGTGTGGTCTGTTTAAATAACTGAAATGTGTGGTCTGTGTAAATAGCTGACACCATCAGTGTGTGGTTTGTTTAAACGACTGACACCAACAGTATGTGGTCAGTGTCAATAACTGACACCATCAGTGTGTGGTCTATGTAAATAGCTGACACCAACAGTGTGTGGTCTGTGTAAATAGCTGACACCGTCATAGTGTGGTCTGTTTAAACGACTGACACCAACAGTGTGTGGTCTGTGTAAATAGCTGACACCATCAGGGTGTTGTCTGTTTAAACGACTGACACCAACAGTGTGTGGTCAGTGTAAGTAACTGACACCATCAGTGTGAGGTCTATGTAAATAGCTAACACCAACAGTGTGTGGTCTGTGTAAATAGCTGACACCATCAGTGTGTGGTCTTTTTAAACGACTGACACCAACAGTGTGTGGTCTGTGTAAATGTGTAAATAGCTGACACCAGCAGTGTGTGGTAAGTCTAAATAGCTGACACCAACAGTGTGTGGTCTGTGTAAATAGCTTACACCAACACTGTGTGGTCTGTGTAAATAGCTGACACCAACAGTGTATGGTCTGTGTAAATAGCTAACACCAACAGTGTGTGGTCTGTTTAAATAACTGACACGAATAGTGTGTGGTCTGTTTAAATAGCTGACACCATCAGTGGGTGGTCTGTGTAAATAACTGACACCAACAGTGTATGGTCTGTGTAAATAGCTGACACCAACAGTGTGTGGTCTGTGTAAATAGCTGACACCAACAGTGTGTGGTCTGTGTAAATAGCTGACTTGAGTGTATATTCACTATGAATAGAAGAATGTTTTATTAATGTGTATCAGATATTTCTATCAACCATTATTTGCTTTGAATCATATCAAATTTTCATTTCAGTACACAAGAAATCAAGCCAAGTGGTCGCCACATTGGTCGCAAAATCAAGAGAGTGAAAGCTGGCCTAGATTTAAATACTAAATTGACCCAAGGTTCTAAGTTAAATAAACCAAGTGTAGTATCTTCCTCTCATTCATCTCAAGTTACTTCTGTACGCCCTAGCTCGCTGCATGCAGGATCTCGTTCCATATCGCCCTACCAGGGTAGTCATGAGCAAAACACTTCCAAAGTGACATCATCTGTATCTTCCTCATCGTCTCCGTTGTCGCATCATCCATCATCACTGGCCTCTACAGTTGCCACCCCATCAACTGTGCCAGCTAGCAGCAAAAGCAAGCCCATCAACCCAGCCATTGTTGGAGTGCCTATGCGGTGAGTTGATGAGTTTTTGTATCTATGACAGAAAAAGATAGATTCACATGAAATTTGGTACACAGAAATGATCAGTGTGCCATTTGAACACACCCCTACTCATTCATTCAGTTATTGGAGTTATGCCCCTTTTCCCAATTATATCTCTTGCAACAAAGTTTGGAGAGAACATGTAAAGTGTTATCAGTTCATCCATTTGTCTGTAGACAAAAATTTGTCTGGCTATGCATTTGCTCAGTTTTCAACAGATTCAACAGATTCAGCAGAAGGGGAGGAAGCGGCATCAGTGCTTGCTTTATTACTTGCAGAAGACTTTATTAATTTTTTTTGAGAAAAAATTAAAGAAAATAAAATTATCAAAAACGAGATTGAATTTGTCCGGCTCAGCATTTGCTCAGTTTTCAATGAGATTTTTGCCCTAGCACAGCATCTACAGCATCAACTTTTCCTTATAACTTCTCGATAACCACCAGACCAGATGTTATGTTAATTAGCTGGTAAGTTGCTGGGATGATGTGAATGGAAACCGCCTTGACCCAATTATCAGTGTAATAGAGGTCAGATTTGTTTTCATCTTTAAAACAACTTCTTCTAAGGAACAAAAAACCTAGAAGAATGATATTTGGCTGATAGGTTCATGAAATAAAGGCTTATAATCTTTTGGAAAAGAACTGACATTGATCAATATTTAAGGCCATAGGAGTATATTTTGTTCAACCCTATATTAAATAGCAATTCGTAATTAAATGCTAAAGGGCCCAGAAATGCAATGGCAGATATGTTGATAAGATGAAGATTGTTTGAAGTTATTTTAAAACAGTGGTGTAAATGCTTATGAGGTATTTGAAATGAGCATTGAATACCAGGTAAATGACATAGGCCCATTGGGCCTCTTCTTAAGTCAGCCATTGTGTTTTGTCTGCTGCCATGCGCAATTCCCTGTTTTTAATATTTTAAACTTCTAATTTAAAGTTCCACCAGTGAGGTGATGGTTTTTGCCTTTACTGTATCATTTAATAACTGTTTCTACAACAACACTGCATTTAAATACAAAGGTCTTTAAAGCCTGGTTATTGTTAAGGCATATTGACCTCTTGTTAATGTCAGTGACTTTTAAGGATCAACTTGTGAAAAGTTGTTTTGTAATTCTGCTTAGAAAATCTGATTATCTTGCAAAATTTTCAATAATAGAAACCTCTGAGTTGTATAAACATATTCCCTGTTCTATGTCATTGATTTATATATCATTACGTGATATTTTTGTTTGAATACATAATTACGCCAGATTGTGCTTTAGGTGATGATATCACTCATACTGGACCTGTAGAAAGGTATTGAGCATTTTAATTGTACATATGATAGGGCTGAAGCTTGGGTGCAACTGTTAGCTCTCATGGTCCTTCTTCTGTAGGAATGTCAGGATTTTGTCACAATTTGGCCTGAAGCGTCCTAAGGTGAAGGGAACTCAGTTTTGTATAAACAGTGGATGTGAAAGTCTAACGTTCAAAAAGGTTAATCAGTTTAAATTGAAAATAAGCCTCCACAAAGTATCGGTAGTTCTGTTTAGGAAATTAGAAATAGATGTCTTACAATGCTTCCTTATGTAAAGCAAGTGCTTGTTTAGGGTTGTTTGTTTACTAGTAGAGAGGTCAGAAGTCAAGGACTTCATTCCTTTTGACAAAAAATTGGTTTCTGCATAATTTGTTAAGGTTTATATAACTTGTAAAGGTTTGTTGGATCATTCCATCGGGCTTCATCCAGTTTTTCCTTGTGTCGGATATTGATTAACCAAGGTAGGAAATTAAACTACTGTATGCAGGTGTTGTTATGAAAAGTATTATCTATGACCTCCCAGTGAAATCACATTAATGTAGGTCAAACTATAAACCAGTGTTACACATTTTATAGGTAGAGACTAATTGGTCATTATTCTTCCTTCTTATCGGAGTGAAATGTCAAAGTCTATCAAATATGTACAATTGTGGGATTATATGATTAGCATTGTGATAAATATGTACAATTATTGAGTGATATAGTCTGTTGCAGTGGCAGTAGACACTTTGTCCTTTATGCCTATACCTTCTAACTACAGACCTTTGTTACAGAGACAGGATAATACACCTACTGGCCTTACGTCCTTACAAGAAACCTGAACTACTTCTCAGACTGAAAGCAGGTATGTAGCTTTCTTTATCCTCCTTCAAAATTTGTGTTGAACATTTCTTTATCTCTTTGTAATTCTTTAGCCAACTGAAGATTGGGGGAAATGTCTGTAATCAGGTCTCTATTTTCCAATGTCAAGGCCACAATGCAGTTAAATGTAAATTTCTGTTTTAGCTCAATTGGCCTGAAGGGACCAATTTTGTATAAAAAGTGGGTCTGGAACCACAGGGGTCTGAGGGTTGGGTCCAAAAAAATATAGCAAATTCTGGATTGTTCAGAATTTGGTCTGAAGCTTTCTTGGGCGAAGAGGAATCAGTTTGTATAAATGATTTGTCTTGGCCCATGGGATGGGAGGGATGGGGCCCATATGTTGAAAAACAAAGCAAATTCTGAAAACCCTTTTCCTGTTGGAAAGATTCAATTTTGTCCAGATTTATTTTGAAGCATCCTTGGATGAAGAGAACTAAATTTTGTATAAACTGTCCATCTTATTCCCTTGGGGCAGATTAAATGAATCAATGTCAGCAAACTAAAGTAGGTGAGCAATACTAGCCCTATGAGCCTTATGTAAGGAAACTTGGTCATATGGTATAATTTATTAAAGCATAGAATTTTTACACATCAGATGTTTCAGGAAAGATAGATGAGGCATCCTCTTATCAGTCAAAAATGAGATATTGTCTGATTATGCTTCAAATTCATGTATAAGGGGTTTGAAGAATGATAACTACAGGAACTACAGTTGTGGGATGGCATATTACACAATATGTGATGAGTGCATGATGTATGCACAATGTGTGCTAAGCTGGAAATATGAACAAAGTTTGCTATCATAAAGTGAACATGTGCACGTCTATCTCAAAGATGAGTGATTCTGTCTCAAAGATGTGCACTTCTATCTCAAAGATGTGCACTTCTATCTCAAAGATGTGCACTTCATATCAAAGATGTGCGCTTCTATCTCAAAGATGTGCACTTAATATCAAAGATGTGTGCTTCTATCTCAAAGATGTGCGCTTCTATCTCAAAGATGTGCACTTCATATCAAAGATGTGCACTTCTATCTCAAAGATGTGCACTTCTATCTCAAAGATGTGCACTTCATATCAAAGATGTGTGCTTCTATCTCAAAGATGTGCACTTCTATCTCAAAGATGTGCACTTCTATCTCATAGATGTGCACTTCATATCAAAGATGTGCGCTTCTATCTCAAAGATGTACACTTAATATCAAAGATGTGTGCTTCTATCTCAAAGATGTGCGCTTCTATCTCAAAGATGTGCACTTCTATCTCAAAGATGTGCACTTCATATCAAAGATGTGTGCTTCTATCTCAAAGATGTACACTTAATATCAAAGATGTGTGCTTCTATCTCAAAGATGTGTGCTTGTATCTCAAAGATGTGCACTTCATATCAAAGATGTGTACTTCATATCTCAAAGATGTGTGCTTCTATCTCAAAGATGTGCACTTAATATCAAAGATGTGTGCTTCTATCTCAAAGATGAGTGATTCTGTCTCAAAGATGTGCACTTCATATCATAGATGTGTGCTTCATATCAAAGATGTGTGCTTCTATCTCAAAGATGTGCACTTCATATCAAAGATGTGCACTTCATATCAAAGATGTGTGCTTCATATCAAAGATGTGTGCTTCATATCAAAGATGTGTGCTTCTATATCAAAGATGTGTGCTTCTATCTCAAAGATGTGATTCTATCTCAAAGATGTGCACTTCATATCAAAGATGTGCACTTCTATCTCAAAGATGTGCACTTCATATCAAAGATGTTCGCTTCTATCTCAAAGATGTGCACTTAATATCAAAGATGTGTGCTTCTATCTCAAAGATGTGCACTTCTATCTCAAAGATGTGCACTTCATATCAAAGATGTGTGCTTCATATCAAAGATGTGTGCTTCTATCTCAAAGATGTGCACTTCATATCGAAGAAGTGTGCTTCTATCTCAAAGATGTGCACTTCATATCATAGATGTGTGCTTCATATCAAAGATGTGTGCTTCTATCTCAAAGATGTGCACTTCATATCAAAGAAGTGTGCTTCTATCTCAAAGATGTGCACTTCATATCAAAGATGTGCACTTCATATCAAAGATGTGTGCTTCTATATCAAAGATGTGTGCTTCTATATCAAAGATGTGTGCTTCATATCAAAGATGTGCACTTCTATCTCAAAGATGTGCACTTCATATCAAAGATGTTCGCTTCTATCTCAAAGATGTGCACTTAATATCAAAGATGTGTGCTTCTATCTCAAAGATGTGCGCTTCTATCTCAAAGATGTGCACTTCATATCAAAGATGTGTGCTTCATATCAAAGATGTGTGCTTCATATCAAAGATGTGTGCTTCTATCTCAAAGATGTGCACTTCATATCGAAGAAGTGTGCTTCTATCTCAAAGATGTGCACTTCATATCAAAGATGTGCACTTCATATCAAAGATGTGTGCTTCATATCAAAGATGTGTGCTTCTATATCAAAGATGTGTGCTTCTATCTCAAAGATGTGATTCTATCTCAAAGATGTGCACTTCATATCAAAGATGTGTGCTTCTATCTCAAAGATGTGATTCTATCTCAAAGATGTGATTCTATCTCAAAGATGTACTTCTATCTTGGTTGATATCAATTTAGAAATGACTTACAAATAAGTGTGGTTTTATTATTTTGTATTATTATATATTAGAGTTGGTTCAGTTTAGCCTATTTCTGAATTAAGCCATACATTTATAAGTCTGACATATTTAAATATGTCAGCTACATACTAAATAGTCTTGTAATTAATAGTATTTTTTTTTATAGAATGTCACACATGACTGGTCTGTATGTGTACAATCATTCATACATATATAGTACATTATCGTGCCGTAGCAATCTAAAATCTTAGGAAAGGATATTTAGTTTACATTTATTGTGTATCATTCTCTATTTCTATTATTTTGCGAAAAAAAATGTATACCCATGTGAATTTGAATTGTTACAATGGAAACCTACCATAACAGACCTGTCACAAATTTACATATATACTTATACAGGTAAATTTGTTGCCTAGGGCTAAATACATGTCATACGAAATTATACATTAAAGTTACTTATTAAAGCCAGGTCTGGTTATATGTTGATAACTGTCAGATTAAAAGTGACCTTTGTAATAAAAGATTAACACTTCAAACAACTATCGTCACTATTTAGTCTGAACTTGTTCAATTTTCCATGCAGTGTTCAATCCATAATATGAATGATCCATTTTTACCAAACTACACAAAATATGTGATGCCATTGCTCTGAATTTTGTGCTTGATATTGTAATTAGCATGTGTGCAGATAATGCATGGACAAAGTTTCTGCTGCGTTGTGAGATACCACAACTGTATTTCCCAAAACACTCTGTATTTTTTTTATTGTTGTAACCAAAACAAGAGCTATATGATTGGACAAAATATTTTTTTCAAAGGACTACTCCTTACCTTTAAAGCTGTAAACCAATTTCAATGACACTACACTATTAGGAACCATAATATGTAGACGAACATGCACTGTTTGATACCCCCTACATCAGTGGATTTCATGAAGGATTATGGGACCAGTGAAGTGTTTGGTATTTCGGATTGAATATTCAAATCCAAAATTGTTTGAAATTACTATTCATTAAAATCATAACTTTGATTTAAACTTCACATTGTGAAATTACACAAGACCAAACTACAATAAAATGGTCTTAATAGCAAGGTGGTCTTAATAGTGAGGTAGTCTTATTCCTTTGTTAATTCATATTGTAACATACATGTATATTTACTGTTGTGAAGATTGAAGATAAGAAAACAAACAATCAAGTTTAAGTTCAATAGGAATTTAATGGGTTTTTTTTTTCAAAATTTTACAAACGCATTAACTCAGTCAATGTATATCACAGTAAAAGACTTTTGTAATGACATGAATGAAGTCACTATGAAGTTTTTCACATAAATTTGCAAACACATTAACTCAGTGTATCACTCAGTACAACACATTTGTGTTTTTACTTAAAAAATGAGTCCAGTGTACAGTCAAAACACTTGACCAAAGGATTATCGGCCGAAAAGATTACATAACTCACCTTTGGGTATGTAGGGCTATCAATACATAATCAACAAATAATAGATAACCATTAAAACATGTCTGGCATGCAGCTTCACATGGGTAGGCCAGGTTCATCCAATGAGGTTTACTTCCTGTAACACCACCTAGTGGCAGGGTCGGTAACCTGTAACACCACCTAGTGGCAGCGTCGGTAACCTGTAACACCACCTAGTGGCAGCGTCGGTAACCTGTAACACCACCTAGTGGCAGGGTCCGTAACCTGTAACACCACCTAGTGGCAGGGTCGGTAACCTGTAACACCACCTAGTGGCAGCGTCGGTAACCTGTAACACCACCTAGTGGCAGGGTCCGTAACCTGTAACACCACCTAGTGGCAGGGTCAGTAACCTGTAACACCACCTAGTGGCAGGGTCCGTAACCTGTAACACCACCTGGTGGCAGGGTCGATAACCTGTAACAAAGACACTGGTCAAGATTGACACACATACTTGCGGTTCACTGCCCACTAATCACTGGTTAGAACGTGGTCGTAATTGTGAGGTCAAGCACCGTTATTTAGTGGTCGTTGGGACTTTAAGAAGTGGTCATAATATGGAATAGTGGGGTAATCATAATACTGAAGCAACCATACAAAGAGATATAGTGAAAAAAATGAGACTGAAAAAAAGTGCCTGTAATAGCGGGATGATCATAATTTTGAGGTGAACATTAGGTGAAGTTTCATTGTATATAACAAACATCAGCAGACCTTAGTAATTAGTTCTCTACAGTAAAACATGTTTATAACACACCTCAGGAGACCTAAGTAATTAGTTCTCTACAGTAAAACATGTTTATAACACACCTCAGCAGACCTAAGTAATTAATTTCTCTACAGTAAAACATGTTTATAACACACCTCAGGAGACCTAAGTAATTAGTTCCCTACAGTAAAACATGTTTATAACACACCTCAGGAGACCTAAGTAATTAGTTCTCTCAGTAAAACATGTTTATAACACACCTCAGGAGACCTAGGTAATTAGTTCTCTCCAGAAATCATGTTTATAACACACCTCAGGAGACCTAAGTAATTAGTTCTCTACAGTAAAACATGTTTATAACACACCTCTGGAGACCTAGGTAATTAGTTCTCTCCTGAAAACATGTTAATAAGACACCTCAGGAGACCTAAGTAATTAGTTCTCTACAGTAAAACATGTTTATAACACACCTCAGGAGACCTAAGTAATTAGTTCTCTACAGTAAAACATGTTTATAACACACCTCAGGAGACCTAAGTAATTAGTTCTCTACAGTAAAACATGTTTATAACAAACCTCAGGAGACCTAGGTAATTAGTTCTCTACAGTAAAACATGTTTATAACAAACCTCAGGAGACCTAGGTAATTAGTTCTCTCCAGTAAAACATGTTTATAACACACCTCTGGAGACCTAGGTAATTAGTTCTCTCCTGAAAACATGTTAATAACACACCTCGGGAGACCTAAGTAATTAGTTCTCTACAGTAAAACATGTTTATAACACACCTCAGGAGACCTAAGTAATTAGTTCTCTACAGTAAAACATGTTTATAACACACCTCAGGAGACCTAAGTAATTAGTTCTCTACAGTAAAACATGTTTATAACACACCTCAGGAGACCTAAGTAATTAGTTCTCTACAGTAAAACATGTTTATAACACACCTCAGGAGACCTAAGTAATTAGTTCTCTACTGTAAAACATGTTTATAACACACCTCAGGAGACCTAAGTAATTAGTTCTCTACAGTAAAACATGTTTATAACACACCTCAGGAGACCTAAGTAATTAGTTCTCTACAGTAAAACATGTTTATAACACACCTCAGGAGACCTAAGTAATTAGTTCTCTACAGTAAAACATGTTTTAACACATCAACACACCTCAGGTATGAAAATTCCTCAAGGTAATTAGACTTTCTCCTTGAGAAAATTTTATACAAGTAAGAACATGTTTATAACACACCTCAGGAGACCTAAGTAATTAGTTCTCTACAGTAAAACATGTTTATAACACACCTCAGGAGACCTAAGTAATTAGTTCTCTACAGTAAAACATGTTTATAACACACCTCAGGAGACCTAAGTAATTAGTTCTCTACAGTAAAACATGTTTATAACACACCTCAGGAGACCTAAGTAATTAGTTCTCTACAGTAAAACATGTTTATAACACACCTCAGGAGACCTAAGTAATTAGTTCTCTACAGTAAAACATGTTTATAACACACCTCAGGAGACCTAAGTAATTAGTTCTCTACAGTAAAACATGTTTATAACAAACCTCAGGAATCTTAAGTCAGTTGTTTGTATACTTTGTTGTTTTTATAGATGGAATCCTGGATAAAGACAAAGATACCATTTCTTCTGTACTACAGCAAGTAGCAGTATTCATACCGCGTGATAACAAATACTCTCTAGCCCGTCATGCGTTTGCTGAAGTGCGACAGGACTGGAAATTCTACAGTGAGAATGACAAGGAACTTGTCAAAAAGTAAGATCATTGGTGCCTTTTATTGATGTCATTGGTAATATCAACCTTTTGTATAGTACTTACACAGAGATCTACTTGTTATTAATATGATATTCAAGTCTCTGTATCTCTTTGTCTAAAATTGTTTACTTCCCTGTATACCTGTATTTCACTGTGTTATAAATACCTGTATACCTGTATTTCACTGTGTTATAAATACCTGTATATCTGTCTGTCACTGTGTTATAAATACCTATATATCTGTCTGTCACTGTGTTATAAATACCTATATACCTGTCTGTCACTGTGTTATAAATACCTGTATACCTGTATGTCACTGTGTTATAAATAACTGTATACCTGTATTTCACTGTTATAAATGCCAATATACCTGTATGTCACTGTTATAAATACCTGTATACCTGTATGTCACTGTGTTATAAATACTTGTATACCTGTATTTCACTGTTATAAATGCCAATATACCTGTATGTCACTGTTATAAATACCTGTATACCTGTATGTCACTGTGTTATAAATACCTGTATAACTGTATGTCACTGTGTTATAAATACCTGTATACCTGTATGTCACTGTGTTATAAATACCTGTATACCTGTATGTCACTGTGTTATAAATACCTGTATACCTGTACATCACTGTGTTATAAATACCTGTATACCTGTACATCACTGTGTCATAAACACCTGAATACATGTATGTCACTGTGTCATAAATACCTGTATACATGTATGTCACTGTGTTATAAATACCTGTATACCTGTATGTCACTGTGTTAAAAATACCTGTATACCTGTATGTCACTGTGTTATAAATACCTGTATACCTGTATTTCACTGTTATAAATGGCAATATACCTGTATGTCACTGTTATCAATACCTGTATACCTGTATGTCACTGTGTTATAAATACCTGTATACCTGTACATCACTGTGTTATAAATACCTGTATACCTGTACATTACTGTGTTATAAATACCTGTATACCTGTATGTCACTGTGTTATAAATACCTGTATACCTGTACATCACTGTGTTATAAACACTTGTATACATGTATGTCACTGTGTTATAAACACCTGTATACATGTATGTCACTGTGTTATAAATACATGTATACCTGTACATCACTGTGTTATAAACACCTGTATACCTGTACATCACTGTGTTATAAATACCTGTATGTCACTGTGTTATAAATACCTGTATACCTGTATGTCACTGTGTTATAAATACCTGTATACATGTATGTCACTGTGTTATAAATACCTGTATACCTGTATGTCACTGTGTTATAAATACCTGTATATATGTATGTCACTGTGTCATAAATACCTATATACATGTATGTCACTGTGTTATAAATACCTGTATACCTGTATGTCACTGTGTTATAAATACCTGTATACCTGTACATCACTATGTTATAAATACCTGTATACCTGTATGTCACTGTGTTATAAATACCTGTATACCTGTACATCGCTGTGTTATAAATACCTGTATACCTGTATGTCACTGTGTTATAAAAACCTGTATACCTGTACATCACTATGTTATAAATACCTGTAAACATGTATGTCACTGTGTTATAAATACCTGTATACCTGTACATCGCTGTGTTATAAATACCTGTATACCTGTACATCACTGTGTTATAAATACCTGTATACCTGTACATCACTGTGTCATAAACACCTGAATACATGTATGTCACTGTGTCATAAATACCTGTATACCTGTACATCACTATGTTATAAATACCTGTAAACATGTATGTCACTGTGTTATAAATACCTGTATACCTGTACATCACTGTGTTATAAATACCTGTATACCTGTACATCACTGTGTTATAAATACCTGTATACCTGTACATCACTGTGTCATAAACACCTGAATACATGTATGTCACTGTGTCATAAATACCTGTAAACATGTATGTCACTGTGTTTTAAATACCTGTATACCTGTATGTCACTATGTTATGAATACCTGTATACATGTATGTCATGTCACTGTGTCATAAATACCTGTATAAATGTATGTCACTGTGTTATAAATACCGGTATACCTGTATGTCACTGTGTCATAAACACCGGAATACATGTATGTCACTGTGTCATAAATACCTGTATAAATGTATGTCACTGTGTTATAAATACCGGTATACCTGTATGTCACTGTGTCATAAACACCTGAATACATGTATGTCACTGTGTCATAAATACCTGTATACATGTATGTCACTGTGTTATAAATACCTGTATACCTGTACATCACTGTGTTATAAATACCTGCATACCTGTATGTCACTGTGTTATAAATACCTGTATACCTGTACATCACTGTGTTATAAATACCTGTATACCTGTACATCACTGTGTTATAAATACCTGTATACCTGTACATCACTGTGTTATAAATACCTGTATACCTGTATGTCACTGTGTTATAAATACCTGTATACATGTATGTCACTGTGTTATAAATACCTGTATACCTGTATGTCACTGTGTTATAAATACCTGTATATATGTATGTCACTGTGTCATAAATACCTATATACATGTATGTCACTGTGTTATAAATACCTGTATACATGTATGTCACTGTGTTATAAATACCTGTATACCTGTATGTCACTGTGTTATAAATACCTGTATACCTGTACATCACTGTGTTATAAACACTTGTATACATGTATGTCACTGTGTTATAAACACCTGTATACATGTATGTCACTGTGTTATAAATACATGTATACCTGTACATCACTGTGTTATAAACACCTGTATACCTGTACATCACTGTGTTATAAATACCTGTATGTCACTGTGTTATAAATACCTGTATACCTGTATGTCACTGTGTTATAAATACCTGTATACATGTATGTCACTGTGTTATAAATACCTGTATACCTGTATGTCACTGTGTTATAAATACCTGTATACCTGTACGTCACTGTGTTATAAATACCTGTATACCTGTATGTCACTGTGTTATAAATACCTGTATATATGTATGTCACTGTGTCATAAATACCTATATACATGTATGTCACTGTGTTATAAATACCTGTATACATGTATGTCACTGTGTTATAAATACCTGTATACCTGTATGTCACTGTGTTATAAATACCTGTATACCTGTACATCACTGTGTTATAAACACTTGTATACATGTATGTCACTGTGTTATAAACACCTGTATACATGTATGTCACTGTGTTATAAATACATGTATACCTGTACATCACTGTGTTATAAACACCTGTATACCTGTACATCACTGTGTTATAAATACCTGTATGTCACTGTGTTATAAATACCTGTATACCTGTATGTCACTGTGTTATAAATACCTGTATACATGTATGTCACTGTGTTATAAATACCTGTATACCTGTATGTCACTGTGTTATAAATACCTGTATACCTGTACGTCACTGTGTTATAAATACCTGTATACCTGTATATCAATGTGTTATAAATACCTGTATACCTGTATCAAATAATGAAATGGCATACAAGTATAAAGACTAGAGAACTTACTACTATAAAAACATAGTCCACCATAATTTTCTGATACTATTAAAAATTTTTTTTTTTTCAGAAAATTAGACAATCTGTCACCAGCTTCCTCTCCTGCCTCTAATCAAAGGTCTCCAGATAGTCCTAACAACTCACAGGTGTGTATGAACTGGAGGTACTGTGTATTTAGATTTGTTGGTCCTAGCAACCTACAGGTGTGTATGAGCTGGAGGTACTGTGTATTTAGGTTTGTTGGTCCTAACAACTCACAGGTGTGTATGAACTGGAGGTACTGTGTATTTAGATTTGTTGGTCTTAGCAACCTACAGGTGTGTATGAACTGGAGGTACTGTGTATTTAGGTTTGTTGGTCCTAACAACTCACAGGTGTGTATGAGCTGGAGGTACTGTATATTTAGGTTCGTTGGTCCTAGCAACCTACAGGTGTGTATGAACTGGAGGTACTGTATATTCAGGTAATTTTGTTTTGTGAGGGAGAGGAGTGTCCAATAGGGGAACTAAAGCGATCACTTAAAAATTTTCCTATATTATGAAAAAAGTTTGATGAAACTTTGTTTCAAATATTCTTGTGTGAATTTTCTGTAAATCAAGGGTCTGCAGAAGGGCAAGGCCCAATAAAGGAAATGGTGGTAAGATTTTAAAATGATTATTTTTATGCCTGCCTAAAGGTATTTTCTGAACAATTAGTGTTAGGCTTTAGAACTCATCATCTTTGGGAAAAGTGTAACAATTCAATACAGTTTGCTGCTAAAAATGTTTTGAAGTGAGAAATATCCAGGTGAGTGATACAAGCCTCTTAGGCCTCTTGTTTTCTTAAGAGTATTCAAATTTCAAATAATGAAGAGCAGAATTATGTAGAGAAATGAAGGGAAAAAGTCCAACTTTTAAAGAATAGATTAGAAATCAAAACAATGGTGGGCACCAAGATTGTCTGGGTTCTTGTAATCCCCCTGTAAGATCACAACAACAGAAGCAACTAGATCAGTATATTAGGATTCAGGTGAACATAAAGGAATATAAGCTTTTTTTTACTTAGCCTACTCACCTATAAGTACAAATGTATTTAAATATTTTTTCACTGTTTTTCAGAAACGGCCTACTGAATCTGTGCTTGATCTGCTTCCATCCAAGAAACAGCGCATCTCCCACTCTGTTGCCAAACCCAGAAAGGAAAATAAGCCATTGATTGGCGAGGTCCTCAAGCATGACCAACATCTCACAATCAATGGCCATGACCAGACGCACAAAAAGGAAAATATTGATGGTGTGTTCAGGATGGATACATTACACTTATTACAGCAGTAGATAGCTAACTCTCAAAGTTTAAGTCTGTCAACTTAGTTATTAGCTCACCTGAATCGACAGGCCACTTGAGCTTAGGCCATGGTGTCCTTCGTCTGTCTGTACACTGTCAACATTTGAACAACTTCTTCTCAATAAGCAGGAGTCCCACACTAATGATGTTAGACGGACTAGCTCCTTGAATAAGGCATCTTGACCTATATTCAAAGTCACAGCCTGAAAGGCTAGTTAGACATTATTTGGCTCCAAAACGCTACTCTTCCTTAACGCTTGAATGGATTTCAACCAAATTTGGTCTGAAACATCACTGAGTATGGAAAATTATTGCTTTAATTCAGAAAGTTGAATCAGTCTGAAGGGACTTGCAGGCAGGGCCCCAAAAGGGGAAGTTAGACAATATTTTGCTTCCAAAAACTACTCATTCTTAATGTCTGGGTAGATTTCAAGAACTTAGATGATTTCGCCTTCCACAAGCTCATTGGTCATAGTGTTTGTGTATTAGCATGCTTCAGGAATAGGATTTCAGGAAATTAACTACACAAACTGGGAAACTCTGTAATGCAATATAACAGGTCAACAATTCAGGTCCATTGGGCATATTGTTTGCTTTTATTTTTAAGATATTCCTAATCTTAAATGTTTTAATAATTTACTAACTGTAATGGGTTTTTTTCTTTACAGAAAGAGTCCAAGTGGCCACATCAACATCAGACAGTCCAGACTACATGAAGTAAGTATGAAAAATGTAGAACAGTGTTGTTTATGGAGGTGGTCCCTTAATAAAGTACAGATATGAACTTGTGGTCCTTTGATAAAATACATATATGAACTTGTGGTCCCTTAATAAAGTACAGATGTGAACTTTTGGTCCCTTAATAAAGTACAGATATGAACTTTTGGTCCCTTTATAAAGTACAGATATGAACTTGAGGTCCCTTAATAAAGTACAGATCTGAACTTGTGGTATAGATGTTTAAAGAAAGCTTTCTTGTATCTTAAACTTCTAATCATGTTTTCATTGAAATGAGAAGATCATTTTATTCATTATGTATTTTTCCAGCACCTACCATCCAATCTCCACTGCTGAACAGCGTCAACGCTACAAACAAGAGTTTAATCATGAATATGAGGAATACAGGGGTTTGCACATGAATGTAGAACGAGTATCAAAGAAGTTCATGGATTTTGAAGCTATGCTTAAAAGAGCCCAACCTGGATCAGAAAGTTATGAGGTACGAACAGACTTTTAGGTGGAGGGGGACCAGGGTCAGAAAGTTATGTGGTACGGACAGACGTTTAGGTGGAGGGGGACCTGGGTCAGAAAGTTATGTGGTATGGACAGACTTTAAGGTCGAGGGGGACCTGGGTCAGAAAGTTATGTGGTATGGACAGATTTTAAGGTGGAGGGGGACCAGGGTCAGAAAGTTATATGGTATGGACAGATGTTAAGTGGAGGGGGACCTGGGTCAGAAAGTTATGTGGTATGGACAGATGTTAAGTGGAGGGGGACCTGGGTCAGAAAGTTATGTGGTATGGACAGACTTTAAGGTGGAGGGGGACCTGGGTCAGAAAGTTAGGTGGTATGAACTGACTTTAAGGTGGAGGGGGACCTGGGTCAGAAAGTTATGTGGTATGGACAGATGTTTAAGTGGAGGGGGACCTGGGTCAGAAAGTTATGTGGTATGGACAGACTTTAAGGTCGAGGGGGACCTGGGTCAGAAAGTTATGTGGTATGGACTGACGTTTAGGTGGAGGGGGACCTGGGACAGAAAGTTATGTGGTATGGACTGACTTTTAGGTAACGGGGAGCTGGGTCAGAAAGTTATGTGGTATGGACAGACATTTAGATGGAGGGGGACCTGGGTCAGAACGTTATGTGGTATGGACAGACGTTTAGGTGGAGGGGGACCTGGGTCAGAAAGTTATGTGGTATGGACTGACTTTAAGGTGGAGGGGGACCTGGGTCAGAAAGTTATGTGGTATGGTGGTATGGACAGATTTTTAGGTGGAAAGGGATGAATATGATGCCTTCAGTTTTTTGGTACTAATTACTGTTACTGGTGAACACCATTTTTAGGTTACTTAAGACAAAGTCTTATAGTGACATATTTGTTTGGCTTTGTGTGTCAATATCAATATCATCAATATAGTGTGGGTTCCTTAACTTAAACATTTTCTATTTCTCAAAACATTCCCCTCACTTCATGGGACTTCAAACATATCACTTCAGTCTAACTATCATCAATGTCACAATTTCTTTATTGTGACACTTGCTACTTACCCTATCATTTTGCTATTCTATATATTCTAACAATTTTCTCAAAATCATTCTTCTTCTGTTGGACTGCCTGGATTCTGTCTCAATTTTGTATGAGCCATGCTTTAATCATGGGAATTAATTTGGAGAAAAAAAAAACCATTGAGTGTTCAGCCTACTGGAGCCGGAGGGGAGGGGAGGGGTGGTATCAAATAGTGGAAACAAAATAAATTCTTAACAATCCTTACTTTGTTGGAATGATTCAGTTTTTTTCCAAATTTGATCTGAAACAACCTTTTGGACTTTTAACAGTTCATCTAACCCCTTTAGGCAGAGGGGTGCGGCCTAACAAGGAAAATAGTTTCAAGTGTTTTTAATATGTTTTCTTTATTTAATTGAATACATTTTACCAAAGTAAAAACCAATGAGTTTTACAGGCCTGATATGCCTTTTGGTTTTTCATAGAAAATTTTAGTAATAAGTTATAAATATTGAATTCTTCTTATCTATTATGTAGGAAAGTCGCTAATGTTGTTTCTTTTATTTTGTTCTTGCATTTCAGAATTTGAAGAACAAGATTCGAATGGAATACAAACTACAAAAAAGTGATGTGAAATACATTGATCAAAAGAAGAGGTTTGACTATTTACACAAAAAGCTTGGCTTCATAAAACAGCTGATTCTGGAATATGACCATATGCAAACAAATGTTGACTCCTAGTGAAGGCCTAAACCTTCCTAATATTGCTCAAATCTCTATACACATTGGATTATTTGATCTCCACCTATAAGATGGAAGACTTGGCTCGCCTCAGGACCTTGAGTTAGCGGGATCTGTGCAACAGCTGTGGATGTACAGCTAACCGGCAAAGATTAAAAAACTTTGTGCATATAAAGCCTCACCAGCAAGGACATGATGATAGTTTAGTGTTCTTGGTCATTACTGGTACATGTAGCAAATCATGCACAGCCTTAATGTGTTGACAGTTATAGCCCAGATGAGTGCCTTGGATACCAGTAGTATTGTGTAGCCCATATAAACAGATTGGCTCATTTCTTTCACTGTTTTATAAAGCATATTACCATTATGGTGGATGAAATATCAGATACCTTTAACAATGAAATTTCATCTTGGCTTTTAAGTCTGATTGGTTAACACAAATTACATTGGTGACAGGATTTTTTTTTTATATAACTCACAAATGTGTACATTATCCTAAAGTAAGAGAGTGAGAATGTGTTCTTTGTATTTATAGAATTGACAGTAATTTATTGTACAAGTTATTTATACAGAATCAGTGTTGAGAACTTGATTCACTTACACACTCGGCTTTTATGTTCAATGGTACTTTGTGCTTTGGTAAAACTTTTTCAAACAAGTACTTTATAAAAGTGGGTGCATCTCTTAGAAAAGAGTCTTAATAAGATGAACTATTACATACAAGTACATATTTAATTGATGAAGATTATTTGTAATATTTGTGTCATATTCAATGTGTCCTTAACCCATATCAAGCCATTTTGTTATCCAGCTGAAACAACAGAATCTAAATTCAAACTCAAATCTTATGAAAAAAAAAGAATAAAAGTGTCAAACAATGAATTAAGATAGGCACTTTTTATAGGTAGCTGTGATTTCTCTAACTATATATTAGCAATAAAATATACAAAAAATTTACACCATCAATAGACAAAGTGTGTGGCAAGAAACCAGCATTGTAAGCTCACCTGGCCTGAAGGAACACGCCAGCTTATTCCATGGTGCTGCATCCATTGTCTGGCTGTAGGTTGCTGGGATGAAACCAGACAAAGATTAGGAAAAGAAATGACTATGACCCTTATTCAAGGTCACAGGGGCCAAATTGAAAAATACCAATAAAACAGCTTCTTCTTTGTTTGCAAAAAGATATCACCTTTACCCATATTCAATACCACAGGGGTCAAATTTGTTCAAAGCTTTAAACAGTTTCTTCTGATTAACCAAAAAGTTTCAGGAATCTGATATTGGCAGAAAGATCTTTGGGTTGAAGCCTAACAGAGACTTCTTCTGGTCAATTTAAAGTCTAAGAAGCAGAATATCGGATGGAATTACAACAGATTTTGAGAGAAAAAAAAAAAATATCGGCAATTAACCTTAATGTAGGTCATAATGCCTTTGTTTAGAACTGAGTGTTAAAAGCTTCAGTTTGATGTGGAAATTGGTTAAAATTGATTTGATATGTCCACTTGGAATGCCAGTGGTACACATGTTAATATATTTGTCATGAGCAGTGATTGTATTTTTGATCAACATTGAATACCAGGTGAGCAATGCAGGTCACTGGGCCTTTTGTCAAAGTTTTGAGAGCAACAAGCAATTCCAATTCACTTCAGGTCATCAAACACTGCGCTTCCCACACAACAGTTTGTAATTTATTGATTGTATGTTAAAAACAGTCTAATTGCCATGGAACCCACTCGCTAACACTTTTTGCTGTCTTCTCATCAATAGCATTAAAATTCTCTTTCCCTTCTTGTCTCAAACTCCAACCCAAGCCATACATTCTTCTTGGACTTAATCTCTAAGATTCCAAGGGGGCTCCTAAACCCTTTATGCTTTCATTTACCCACTCAGAGAATATGTCTCTTTTTTGTTTTACACTGTAAAGTGCCCATATGCATAGATATTACTTCCATACATACATATGGACAACCCCTGGAAAAAAACTCATTTTTATATCATTATTAATGCATTATCACATCGTAGTGTTCTATGCGCTGTGTAAACTACTGTGCTTGGCAAAGGTTTCAGGTCAGTCTAATGTGTACTGAAGTAGTCCACATAAAGATTTCAGTCCAGAACAGTTTGAAGAAAAAGGAACCCATTGTATGATTCTGTCTGGTACTTCTGCATTTACATAGGGTAGTATGATCTGTTTGCGATGTGAACTCTCTACTCTAAAAGTATCACTGAAATTTCTGTCATTAAACATTCTCTCTTAATGAAAGAGCGAGTTCTCTCTCTGTAGCAAGAAATAACTTGTTAACAAACCTGGATTAACCTGTGAAGCCTAAAAAAGATCCGACTACTTCAGTATCCCTGACCTCTCCCTTTTCCATGGCAACAACTCTACCAAAAGCATGTCAAACAATTTTTTTTGCTTGAATCTAATTATATACATAGTAGAATGGCAATGTTGGCTCTCTTATAAGTTTCTGAGAGTATCTAGGTGTTCCATGTTTGTGTCAAAGAATGTTTTCAACATGATGATCAATGTTCGGTCTTCCTTCCAGCATGTTTCACTTCATTCTGTTACATGTTGCACCAGTGTTTACCAATCTGAATGGCAATTATGAAACTGCTAACTTGTCTCATCAGTCAGGAATGCTTTCATATTGTGCAATGTTTCCTGAACAGGAATTTGCTAGTATCCCTTTGTAAGATCCAGTTTGGAGGTGAAAATATCTTTATGATGTCCTGTCAGGATGTTATGTATGTCACCGATAGACTCAAATCTTACATTCAGATTACACAGACTTTGTTTCTGTTGTCCTTTACATGGATGATAGATAGGTTGTAAGGTTGTCATCTTCCTTCCTGGTACATTTTCTGTCCGAAAGTAAATTTAGGGTTTCTGTGTGATTTATACTGTCACATTTCTTTATCATTTCAATACCACTTTTATTGACTCAGCTGTTTACTGCTTCCCACGTCAATTTGTAAAACATCTAGTTGAAAATTTTATGGATTGTATTTTTCATGAAAAAAAAGTTACAATCCTTCTGCAAAATAACATATTTCAATTTCATGAATTAATTGAATCTTACATGCTATCTATTACATTTTAAGTAAATGATTTGGAAAGTTTCGACATGTACTGTATATGTAAAAATTGGTAATTACATCAACACAGTGTGTTTACATAATCAACAGTGTATCACATCTGTAAAGACTTGTTTCTGATGTGACACAGTCAGTGAAAAAAACAGCAGTTACACATATAAATATCAGAGAGAGATTGATATGTTAATCTTTGGATCATTTCGTCCAGGACAATTGGTATCAGGTCACTGTATGGTATTTTCACCTGTTCACCTGATAATAGTATTAGACCATCAATTAGAGTTAAAAATTAACTATGAACTTGATTTGTAAGGTATAGATAGAATGACCTGACATGTGAAGTCCAATTATTGACCAAGTAACGAAACAATTGACACAGACATAGCAGTCAAAACGTGCATCTCTAATGACTTGTGATACTGTATCATAATAAATAGACATTTCCGTTGTGTTATTATCTACAGGAAGCATTTTTCATTTTCTCATAACATAAAACTATTCTAGTAAATTGTCGCATCGAATTATCGTAATTTCTTCTATAATAAAAAAAAGAGAGATATTTTTTCTAACTGGGTTATTTATTTGTGGACAACTTAGTGTTTTACAAGTGCCATCCTTAGTATTTCAGTCACATTAATACATAGTTGTTTGTCTTACTGCATTACTGTGTTATTACCATAGCACTTCTGTAGCATTTCCATCTAAGATGGTATAGCAAGAATGTACAGCACACCACTTCTGGTATGTTTCCTCTAGTATATACATGATAGAGGGCCTCGCATTATACAGGCATTGAAATGTTTAACATTCCCACAAATGTGCTTTAATTGCGTCAATCGTTTTTGACCGCGTCTCTGCCTTCCTTTCATTCATTTGCATTTGTTTGCATTGGCTTTTGTTAGCATTTGCGCCCACCGGATGTATGTCATTTTGAATTCAGTAAATATTCATGATGCCATGCAGTAGTAAAATTTTAAATAATGCCAGTGTGACATCCATATGGATGAGGACCCAAATACTGCAGTATTATCTCTCTACGTTTCAGTTTGATCACTAAAATGTAGAATTAGAATTACACAGTAATGGTATTAAACATGTTTCAGTTTTTAATCTAATTTGTATTTTTGTCCAATAATTTATTATTTATATTAAGTAATTGAAATGGGAATACAGTTATCACTGAATAAATATGCTTGATGATTTGCATTGATTATTGTGGATTTATGTATTAATATGTTCCATATGTCAAATCAATAATACCTATCAATAATATACAGTTTTATTTCAATTATATCTTGTCATGATGTAGATCTGACTACTGACCAATGTTGGTCTCTATGATAGATCAGATTATACCTGGGGGCACTGACCATTGGTATAATTACAATCTGGGTGTCACCTGTCATTTTGTCGTTAACAGAATGTGTTGGGAGTTATTTAGATTCAGATTCTTTTGTTCCCTTGGGAATTAAAAAAAATGACAATATTCTGGTGTAAAAGCGCTGTGATTAATATAGATACAAAATGTGCACGATACAGATGTACCAATTTGTACAAAGGAAACAACTATGTAGATCTGATCTACAATTGATTTTCTACAAATACTGTCTAGCAATTGGGCTAGTGAGAAATACTTGGTGTGTTTGAGTAAGCTAAATATCATCATAATTTCAATGACTTGTAGAAATATATATAAATTCCCCCTCAAAGAATTTATTTCGCTCATGATCTGCTTGATGGCAACACCAGAAATTGATCTGTTACTTTCTTCATTTAGTAGCAAAATACATATGAGATTGTATATAGATTAGCGACTTATGAAGAGCCAATGCTGTCTCTGTTTCTATGTATATCGTTTGCTTTTCTGGTCTACTGTACGTCATACACTGGATTGCTTGCAGTAATTTTTCTATGCTCTGTTAGACGTCACTATAATGAGAACAGTCTAGCAGAGTAAGTTGTAACAAAGACAGGTAATCCTGTTTATGTACTGCCATTGTCATTTTTTCATGTGCATTTTGTGTTTGTGTTTTTCTCAGATTGTTCCTCATTTTGCTTTCATGTTTATTGTTTATAGTTTTGTGTTTATAATTGTTTGCTCTTACCAGATTGTTTTGCGTTTTCTTTGCATTCAGAAGAAATGTTGAATGCTTTGGAATCTGTATTTCCTTCCATTTTTTATTCGTTTGATACTTTTTTTCATTTCAAGCTTGCACTGTTTGTTGAGTGAACTCATCTGGACCTCTATCTAACCTTTGTTTTATGGGCTGAATGACTTGGGTTTACTCTCTGCTCATCACAGCAGACACATGTGTGACAAAGTGGTTTCCAGTTTTCATCAGCTTTTAGACCATTTATACTTACAATGACTGAGTCAAATATGGAACATTTCATACACATGGTCTCTATCTATCCTGTGTAATATGGTGAATCCACTGTAATTTTACAACCTTGAACCATCACACCAGTTCCTCTAACATCACACATGGTCTCTATCTATCCTGTGTAATATGGTGAATCCACTGTAATTTTACAACCTTGACAAACATTTAAGTGAACCAAGAAAAACTTTCAAAAATAATTCTGCTTAGTGTTTTAAACTCATGTTGATAGCAATACCATTTGCATCGAATTCTTTATATTCATTGTGAAAGAATTGTGTGAAAAATTGATTTGGACTCTTCCGACCGAGCTACTCTGAACACATCTCAGTCCGGTTATGGCAAATCAATATGATTTTAATGGTAGCCTGATGTAGCAAACTTCTCAAATCTTTATAGAAATGCATCTATATCATCCCTCTGTTCATCAGATTTAGGTAGAATCGGATTCTATGACTTAGACCTAGAGTCTTCAGTTCTATTTCTGGCTAGTGGTAGTTTACTGTGAACATGGTCTTCATCATCTCTTGAATGGCCTGTATCCAACTCTCAGACTCACTAGGTTTCCATTGGTGCAGCTTCATCTTTTATCTCAGATCTTTCCTCTCTTCCCTTGCTACACTGTATATATTCTTGCTCATTTGTTGCTACTTAATTTTGTAACTGTCTTTTAGTCCTAATCATTCCTCATATGTTGTTAAGAATGAAAGTATGGTAGTTGGACAACACTATAGTAAGAGTGCAATCGCTGTTTCATCTTTCTTTGTAAAGAAATCTCTCATTGCAAAACGAAAATAATGTTTCTTCAGTAAAGAATGATGGTGTACAGGGTGGAGAAATTAAATGTTCTTATAGAAGAAATCTTACTAAAAGAAGGTGTTGAAGATTGGTCAACCGCTCTTTAGAATTCTTTAAAACCCACATACCATTCATTCACTTCTAAACCAAAATGTAAAATAAAACAGATTTTTTTTTATCTTGTACAAATAAAAAAAAAAAAACCATTTTCTCTAATTGACATGACCTGATCAGATAAAAAATGACAAACATTTTGATATCATATTGAATATCTACAATAGCATCATTATATGAATATACCATGGTCACTGAACCTCTCATCACACATCCATAAAAATTGCTTTTAGCTTGTAAATATCTGACCAGATGCAAACTATCAGTCCTGTAAGTTAGACTAGACAGTGCTAATCATGTAAGTTTTGACAAAACTTTGGTGTCAGTGTTGAACACTAATTGCTACATGTGACATCTTTGTTCATCAATATAATGTTACAGTTGTAAAGGTAGTGTGTCAGTGTTTCCTAAGCCAATCAATGGTACAGTACCTACCAGACAAGTGAGGCTAATATTTAGATTACTGTCAACCAGTTACAAAACTTATTTATTGATCTGTTCCTATCTCAAAATATTTGTCATGCAAATGGCTGTTGCACAGTTTCCTACAAATTGTTTTATTTTCTACAATTGAAATGTTTATATTTAATTGCATAGCATTGTAATAGGCCTTCCCTTGTAAACGTATAATTTGACCATTTTCTGGATAAATTTGATGGTATGTTGACTTGTGTGTGTGTGTGTGTGCGTGCGTACATATATGGTGAAAAAGTATTCAATGATTGTCCTGCCACAAGGTCTTTCTGTTTGGAGGCAGAGTCTAAGAAATCTTTGTCATTGTCCTCATCTGCCTGTGCTGACTAATATTGCCACTTCCCCTTCCCCCAGCATATGTTACTTCAGATAGAAGTCCAGCCTTAATGTTTGTCTTGAACATGTGCAAGGTTAGGACAGAAAGATTGCTCATAGAAAGTGTCAGAAATGCTTGTTAACGTGTTGAAAATGTGCCATCGAACAATTCGGTGATGTCAACAAAACTTGTGTACATTATTTCAAATCGCCCTTCATCCGTGGTCCATCCGTCTGTAAGCAATTTTTGTTATCACTATTTCACAAGACATACTAGATGGATCTCTTACAAATTTCATTAGCAGTTTCCTCTTGGTCCCAAATTGCGCTGGTTTGATTTTTGGACTAATCAGGAAATAAAAAGGGGCAATAGACATCCATATTGAATTTTGACTTTTGAAAATTTATTATTTTATGATAAGTACTGGATGGATCTCTCCATGGTTCCTAGTTGTGCCCATTTGATTTTGGGACAAAAAAACAAAATCACAAAGAGAGGTGACCATCTTGGATTTGGCACTAAAAATTATTATCATTATTTCTGCAAAAAAAGATTCAAATTTTGTATCATTAAGAGCAAAAACATTGGACAGAAGAGAATAGATCTTTTAAAGAATAAAGACCAAACAATGGTGGGCGCCAAAATTCCACTGAGATCTCTTGTTGTAAACTTGATTTCAAGCCAAAACCACATTTAGTTTAAACAGTATGTGGCTTATATGAAATTCTATGCTAATATCGCGGAAGTTTTATTTCAAAAAGGGTTTCTGGACTTACTTTCATATTTTTTTCTGTCACAATCCTACAATACTTATCAATGTTGGCCTCAATTATGAAATATTAAATAAAGAAAGTAGAAAATGCTCTTGACTAATTTGAGAATTATAATTCTCCATGTGTCATAACCTATTAGCCAATACACTTCATTATGAATGGATTTGTACATATGGAGATGTCAATTGACCATCAAAACTAAATTATCATAAATATCATAATGAAAGATTACCACAACATTCTCCTTTGTTGCTGACCTCTAGTCATCAAATATCTGGTCATAGCCTTTAAAACAACAAAGATGGCAGGATGTTTTTAAGGGTCATTAAATAGTTTACTTAATTCTATTGTACAGTTATCACATCTTAATGTATTTAGATGATGTGATATGCTGCGTTTGAACATAACTTCTTGACTCTACATAAATAAAATTGTTATTCAGCTCACCTGGTATGCCATACCTTAACATCCTTGTATTTCTGTCTATTCAACCTCTGACAACAATTTCATGCCTTCATTTCTGGATTTCAAGGGGCAGAACCAAAAGGGGAGAATTTATTAATCAATATAACTATAAATAACTTATTCTCTATACATTTGATTTCCCTCATATTTGGTTGGAAGCTCTCAGGGGAGGTGGAGACCTCAAAATTGTTCAAATAGAGGGGTTGATCTTTCTTCTGAAATATTCTGAAGGGATGACGAGGTTATGTCCAATTTTGGTTTGAAGCATCCTTGGATAAAAAAATATTCAATTTCGTTTAAACAGTGGATCATGCACCCTCTCCCTGGCAGACCAAGGGTTCTTGACTCAATAGAGGGATTGCTTTAAAAAACCTGTCTTCTGTATGAAGGCATTCTGGTTTGTTCAGGAGCATTCTTGGTGGATAGAGCACCAATTTTGTTTTAATGTCTCTGTCTCCTGGGGCCTTACGGATGGAGCCTAATATGGGGAAATCTGTTTTATGTAAATCAAGGGTCTGCAGGGGGCAGGACCCATTTTGGGTAATGAGGTAAGAGTTTTAGATAATTCTACTGGTATAATGGGATTTTGTGAATGTATCTACTTTAGGGATTAAAAATCCTTATTTTTTGTTAGAATGTAACAATTTATATCTTGGTGATTTAAAAACGTTTTGTATTGGAAGCCAAGATATCCAGATGAGCAATACAGGCATTATGAACCTTTTGTTCAGGCACTAATCTAGAGTAAAGAAATCGGGATGACCTGAGAAAATCAGGTTGAAGATGGTTATACTGATTCTTGTGGAGGTAGACAATCCAGCCAATCTTTTCGTGGTAGAAAAGGGGCCTACAAGCTCTCGCCGAGTAGGGAGAGTACACTGCTCAATTATCTAATTAGTGTTGCCTAATTCATGTTTACTGACAAGCTTGGGAGCACACCAGTGTACAGACAGGATTTCCCAAATATCAATAGCAGACTTGGACAGGACCCAGGAGCATGTCCTGGCAAATAGTCAGTTAAGATGAGGTCATAATATATAGATAGTGATCAGCATGCACAGGAAACCTGCTCGGCAAAATGGCAACCTTATAGTTATGGTATAACATTGTCAAGACGTTCCTCAATCAAAGCCAATGATTTAACCATATCAGTCTCAAACAAGAGGCCAATAGGGTCTGTATCGCTCACCTGACTTTGCTTAAGTGAAATTGGGTCGTTAAAACTAAGGAAAAGGAGTTCTGTTTCCCCAGTGGGCCCCAACCTTTCGTCTCTAGGGAGTCAGCCAAATCATTCACGCTTCAGATAAAATTGTGACAGGATCCTCCCAATCCTGCAGAAAAAGGGAGATTTCAAAGAATTTGTTGTATTTCCCCTAAAATGGGTCCTGTCCCTCCCACCCCCGGGGTCCGTGACCCACCATATCTACAAAATTGATTTCCCTTTTCCTAAAAATACGCAAGACCTAATTTGGACAAAATTCAATAATTCCTTTATGAGTAGTAGGAATTTGAAAAAAAAACATGCAATTTTTGCCCATTTGGACCCTGTCTTTCTGGTCCCAGACCCACTGTTCAACAAAATGAAGTGTTACTCTTCCCCCAAAGATGCTTGTGACCAAATAAGGTCGTATTCATTTGTACCCTAGTCATTAGCCCTGCAGATGAAGCATTACAGTCAGGAGTGCCATTACAATGCACAGATGGGCGGGCCCTTTTGATTACAGTGGAGTGAAAATGGTGTGCGCTGCCGTGATGAAATTATACATCATCACATGCTTACAGCTTCTGTGCACAGCCAGCGTATCAAGTTTGCAGCAGGACAAGGTACGACCTCAAACTGTTCTTGCATTTCATATTTACGCATTTTGCTCATAAATATTGGTTTATTTAACCGTAAAGATGAAGTTGTCTTCCTTTTTCCTCTTAGTATGTTACAAAGCTATCAAATGCGCAAACACTATTGCTCTGGAGTCCCACGATACCCAAGAGCTGAACACAGGTAATAGAGAGGTTTTGATAAGCCTATTTCTTTAGAACTGGATGGCGATTTCTCATGTAGGTTCCCGTTAGTCCCTAGTTGTGCCCATTTCATTTTGTGACTGACGAGGAAAAATATAATTATCGGAGTTTGATGGTACAGAATTAGCCGATAATTATTTTCCCTTCAGTGTCATACTTTCCGATAGGGGGTGTTGTGAATGCACGTGCACGAGGTGTCGGTGACTGTCGGGTCATTCAGCGATAGTCGCTCCGACAGTGCACATGACTTGATTTGAACAACGGTATGGATAGTGAGGGCCAGGAGACACGTGGCAAAGGGGACATTTCCGGTACGTTAGCCCAACTCCTTGACGAAGTTAAGAGTCAGAAAGCAGAGCTGTGTTCCCTTAGGAATGAAGTACGTGGTTCGGCAGCCACTGTAAGTTGCGAAGTTAAAAAGTTAAAAACGGACTCTGATTTTAATTGGCGTTTCGAGGGTAATAAAACCCAATACAAGTTCAATAGTGATATTTTGGACAGTGTGACACAGGCTGTGTGGGCATTGGACAATAACAAGCTTTCATATTCTCGTGAACTGTTTAATGAAGTGTCTGACAAGCTTAAACAGCGTAACAAACTTATACGTATAGCCGATACCTCAGAAGGAGTGTGGGAAACAGTTCGACAATACGAGTCCCAGCCAGTAGCTAGTGATTCTGACGACGAGAGCAAAATTAGGAGGGCGGAAGCTAGAGCCGTAAAGAAGAAGAAAGATGCGTCTCGGAAAAAATCTCAGTGGTTCAAGTTTGCTGGTACTGGTATTACTAGTGGCAGTAGCGGTGTATTGGGAGGCCAGGGAGCGGTTAAGGCGGTTGGACAGCCCTTTCCTGGAAGCAGATACCCCAGAGGTCCCGGGGGTCAGCCTGCCTACCTCAGGCCAGGGACGTCGTTACGGTCGTATGGAGGAGGAGCATGTTTCAGCTGCGGTGAATTTACACACTTCCGACGGGACTGTCCTTACACAGGAGGAACAGCGGTACCAACGAAAAAATGAGAGGGCAGCGATGACCGGAGATGAAATGGAAGATGAGTATTTTACACAATTTACACGTGATTATTACGAATATGAACAGGGGGATAAGAAGATTTTGGTAAAAGGGAGGTTGAGAGAAAATTTTGATTTTTGGAAAAGTATTGGGGCTAATGAGTACATTTTAGATGTTATTTTCAATGGATATAAGATACCATTTTATTCAAATCCTGAAAGTTGTATTTTAAAAAATAACAAGTGTAGCGACGCGTGGGTCACTTCGTGTCGTTTTTCGGAATTTAGTACAACCCTGTCCGAGGAAGCGAGGAACTCTGGGAGAAAAAGTGACGTCACAGGCTCTTCCTTTGGAGGCCAAGATACGATAGGTCGGTATTGAAATTCAGGCAGGGTAATCTGTTAGATTTTTGTGTTGTCAGCGCCCATCTCTTCCCTAAAATGTTATAAAATGGTTTACTAAACATCAGTTGCCACCTACAACCCGATAGGTTTGATTTCCGACCGTGTAATTTGGTATATTTTTCGATTTATGCAGACTTAAGTTTTGGCGGGAACCTCGTGTCGTGATTGAGGGGAACGTTCGCTAGCTGTTGAAATTTTGTTAAATAGTGGATAATTCGAGAATTGGTATTCTCGGGGAGTAGTTTTCTCTCGTTCGGTGAGGCTAATTTTGTGTGCCCCCCTCGCCAAGACGAACGTAGGAGAAGGCGGTAGTGTTGAGTTGGACTTTGTAAATTTGGAGTCGGTCACGTGGCGGAGATTTGTCCGTTCGGCGAGGTTTGAGACTCGCTCCGAGGAACGGTGTCAGATTCCGTGGGCCGAGAGTTAATTTAGCTAGAGAATTTCGACAACCACGACATTGGTTCCTGCCTGGTAGTTAGTTTAGGTAAAAGTTTGTTTATTTCAGGTGGCTTCTGTACATTGTTAGGGTTAATTTAAAACACTCACTGAGCCGATTAAATGTCTTTCATGCTAAACTTTACTCTTGTAAAATATATAATAAATTGTTGAATCTGTTTAATTCTTCTCGTCATTATTGCCAGTACTTGGTCGAAATTTGTTAGTGAAATCTGCAAGCGAAAGCGGAACCTCCGGCGGGACCGGTGCTAAAAAGATATTATTAGGAGTATAGGGAAAATTAAGGTTTAAAGGTCAAGATAAGTTATAAATAATTCTATCTGAAATTGGTTCGACTGTTTGATAACTACTTCTATTAAAAACTTAGTCATTAAGTACTGGCAACGATGGCGGAGGGCGGTGAGTTTAATTTTGATATTCCGGACTACGGAATACAGATAGAATCAATGCGCCAAAGATTAGATGAGCTGTTGTGTAGGAGCGAAACGCGTGGAAGGCGGCCGGCTCGTGAAAGGGAAGGGGTGGGCGATGGCAAAATTGGGGAGGCCGCCCAAGATACGGGGTCCCCTCGCGGCCTAGGCCAAGGTACGAATAGGGAGCCCTCTAGCTGGAGTCCTTCAAGGATTAGGTTTAGTACACCCCTTGCTGGCTCGACCCCTAGATCAAGACCCGGGGCAGCCCCTTCGCAGGCGACTCAGCCCCAGTCGCCCCAGTTAGTTCCCCTGCCCAAACCCATAGTTGTCCCGGAAGCTTATAATGGCCAGGGTAGTTATAAAGATTGGTTTACACACTTTGAGGCTTGCAAGACCATTAACGCTTGGACAGAGGCTCAAGCTTGCCAATTCCTGGCTGTGAAACTCAAGGGTACGGCCCTTAGGGTATATAGTGATCTAACCCCCACAGAGCGCTTGGACTATAAAAGTGTGACGTCGGCACTTAAGTCCAGATTTGACCCCGAGAGGGATGTGGGTGTGTACTGGGCCCAGCTTCGGGGAAAAACTAGGAAGAAGGGGGAGTCATTATCCGAGTTGGCTGGGTATTTCCAAAGGATAGCAGCTCGGGCCTATCCAGACTCTGATCAGGAGACGCGGAGTA